TATTTTGTAGTGGACCAAACCATTTTGCCAAAAATGGATGAAGTTTTCCCACTCAAACTTTTTTGGCTAAAATTAGAAATATTTATTGTAGGTAAAGATTGTTAGTGATTTATTGATTCTATGGATTTTTATTGATTTAATGATTTATTGATCCCGTGAATCCCCCAAAATATCTATCTATCTATATATTATATTATTTGTATAGCAATATACACACATATGATAGTTGTAGGTAAAGATTGTTACCAATATCTTTATCTTTATTATCAAAGATTTTGTAGACCACTTGACAAAATAATTATATGGAAACATATTTATATATATACATAGCTATTCAACATATATGATAATTATTCCTAAATTATTGAAACTTTCATTTGCATATGATAATTATCATTATTAGCATCGTTTGTTTATAATTCTATATAGAGAAACATATATATATATATGTATATATATATAACATAACATTTTGAAATTAGCAAAGATTTTATTCAACATATATGTTTCAAAAATATTTTGAAATCAGCAAAGATTTTATTGTCATCTTTACGTAAATTGTAATTTATTTATTTATATATTTATATAATAGATAAATCCTTATTTTCATAATTGACATGATTTTGAGCAGAAAATTTTTTCGTCTATATTTGGTAATATTTATTTATTAGCAAATCTTAGGCATGAAAACATAATTAATTTTTATACACTCAATGACTATTACTCATTAACTACACATTGGCTTCAATTTTAATCTTGTCTGTAGACTTATTAGGTATATTTTCAATAAGATCGTATATTAATTTAAAAGTAATTTTTGACACAATTCAAAAAATTAATATGAAAATTGATTTGATAAAAAATATTATCATTTATGGTTGTAGGTATTAATTTAATTAATTATATTTACTATTCAAAAGTATTTAAAATACTTAATAAAATAATCAGAATACCAATGTTTAAATCATAATAACTTAATAAATAATTTAAGATATTAACTAAAGATTCTTAAACATAGTCAATTTAACTATAAAAAAGTACATCCCCATTGAATATATCATATGTATTAATAATACTATTGAAAATTTAAATAATATACTACTAAAAATAAAATTTGATCGTCGAGTGCAATTTAGAGTTATAAATTTCATTCTAGAAGTAAACTATTCAATTTTTGAATATATATATTTTTCCTATATACTATTTTATAAATAAAAAATATGTTAATAAAAAAGCAATGTATAATAATCTAAATTATTGCACATGGTAATTATGAAAATATACAATATATCTATATATTCGAGTAGATATTGCGTAACTCTTTATATAGATTGAAAAAATGAAAAGATTATAATAAATATTCAGCTACAAAAATTTGTGTGCTTCATAAGGATTAAATTTACTGAAAATTCAAATTTATTTATCAAAGTTTTTAACATTTAATGCACGTAATAATTATAGCGAAAGATAAGTATTATGAATTAAACGTTGGTCAATTATCAATCAATGCGCAAATATTATATAGTCTTATACATTTATAATATTTTTATAAACTTATAAATAATAAAACTACAAAAAATAAATATATAAAATAGAAATTAACAATAATAGTAAATAAATAAATGTCATATTATTACTAAATAGAATATTGTTAATATAATTCATATTGTCTTAAATTATTTTATTATATGTAAATAAAAAATATTTTTTTTTGTATTGCACTCCGTGCATCGCACGGGTATCAACACTAGCAACACTAGTACAAATATATACAGGTTTTGCTATGAAGCCAACAGTTGGCTCCATAGTAGAGTCAACTTTCTATATACAACAAGTAAACCTACCATATTATCTGATTAATTAAGTAACACTAATATAATTTTATTAATATGGTAGGTTTTGTTGTATATATAAAGTTGATTTTACTATAGAGCCAACGGTTGGCTTCACAGCAAAACCGCTAAATATATATAATCAATGTACCTTGGTAAATTAAGTTTAATTGACTTCAGCTTGCATATTTTGGCCATGCAATGGGGATCCCAAGTGCTATTACATTAACTTCAACGGTGTATCACGAAATATAGTTTTTTTTTTTTTTTTTTTTTTTTTTTTTTTTTCAATTATAACTCATGGCTTGTAGGTTTTTTTTAGTAAGAATTTCCAATCTCAACTTGGGTGTCGTTATTTGATTAATTTTTATTTTTATGTTTATAAAAATTAGTTTATCACTATATCACTCTTTCAAAAAGTTATATATATTAACTTCAGTTTTTAAATTAACTTTTACACTATACTTATATTGTTGGAATTTTTATTATTGTTATTTTTATTTTTTTTTTGTTATGATGGCGTTTAGACCTACGTAATGTTAAAAGAAACGAGCTACTAATAATGAACTCGTCTCGGCTCGTTTAAAGCTCGATTATTTGTGACAAAGCTGGAAGAAGGAGAAAGATACTGAGCGAGACATCAATCTGATGATCTCGTATACGACGCTCACATTAATATATAAAACCAATTAGGGTTACAAGAGTACATATACTTGCTCTACAAGAAACTAACTAATCAAGGGTACAAAAGAGAAAACACACTAATATAATATTACATCAACACCCCCCCTCAAGTTGGAGCATGGGGATTCCGAATGCCCAACTTGCTAAGGAAGAAATCGAACTCGCGCTTGCCAAGTGCCTTGGTAAAAAGATCAGCCAACTGAGAATGAGTAGAAACGTGAGATGTAGAAACAAGGCCTTGAGCAAGTGCATCACGAACGAAGTGGCAGTTGACCTCAATATGCTTAGTTCGTTCATGAAAAACGGGATTCACAGCAATATGTAAAGCCGCCTGACTATCACAATAAAGATGCACAGGCTGCGAATGAGACACACCAAGACTGTGTAGTAACCCTTTCAACCATTTAAGCTCACAAATGACTGTAGCCATAGTCCGATACTCAACTTCAGCAGAAGAACGTGCAACGGTACGTTGTTTCTTTGTACGCCAAGAAATAAGAGAATGGCCTAATTGAACAAACCAGACACTGAGGGAACGACGAGTAAGGGGACATGTCGCCCAGTCAGAATCACACCATCCAGAGAGTTGAAGGTCCGAGTCAGAATGAAGCACAATGCCTTGCCCAGAAGATCCATTTAAGTATCGAAAAACAGCCTCCCAATGCGCCTGCCGAGGTTGATGCATAAATTGAGCAAGAATATGCACAGAGTAAGACAACTCAGGACGCGTAACCGCCAAATAAATCAGTCGACCAACCAAGCACCGATAGGTCTCCGAATCGTCTAAGAGAGGACTAGTATCATCAAGAAGACGGTGACTCTGTTCCAACGGAAACGCAGCTGGCTTGGCACCCAATAGGCCAACTTCAGAAATGATGTCCAAAGCATATTTCCGCTGACATAGAAAAATGCCAGATGTGTTACGAGCAACCTCAATGCCCAAAAAATACTTCAAGAGGCCCAAATCCTTCATGTGAAAGCAGCGGCTCAAGTAACTCTTAAAGGCCACAATGGACGTAGGATCATTACTAGAGACAATAAGATCATCAACATACACCAATACTTGCAACTGCACAGAACCATGATGCAAGGTAAACAAAGAGTAATCAGAGTGCGACTGAGAAAAACCATACCTACGGAGAGAAGTCACTAGTTTCGCAAACCAGCAACGTGGAGCCTGCTTCAAACCATACAAAGAGTGACGCAAGCGACACACCCGTCCATCATCACCAGAACGAAACCCAGGGGGAAGCTTCATGTAGACCTCCTCAGCTAAATCACCATGAAGGAATGCATTGTGAACATCTATCTGATGAACTTCCCATTGTCGAGCTGCTGCGACCGCTAAGAAGGTCCTCACGGTAACCATTTTGGCAACAAGAGCAAAAGTCTCATGATAATCAATGCCTTCGACCTGATTGTTACCTAAAATCACAAGTCGCGCTTTGTAGCGCTCAACAGAACCATCAGATCGATATTTAATTTTGTAAATCCACTTACAACCAATAGCACGTTTCCCGGGAGGAAGGGAAACCACTTCCCAAGTACCATTATTTTCGAGAGCCTCGTCCCATGACAAAGCTGGAAGAAGGAGAAAGATATTGAGCGAGACATCAATCTGATGATCTCGTATACGGCGCTCACATTGATATATAAAACCAATTAGGATTACAAGAGTGCATATACTTGCTCTACAAGAAACTAACTAACCAAGGGTACAAAAGAGAAAACACACTAATATAATATTACATCAACAATTTGTCAATAAGTTGGGCTTGTTGGAGTTGGAAATGGATATTTTTTTATAGCCTTTATGGCTCAATTTGTTAAGACTTGAGTTCATCTCATTGGTACTTGAGTTCAGTTTGTTAATATTAATAGTGAGCCAAGCTCGAGTATCATGATCTCAAGTTGTGCTCTACTCATATACCACGAATCTCAAAATGAGTTAACTAGCGAGGTCATAAATTTTTAAAGATACAGAGTTTTTTGACAAGAAAGTCCTTTCGATTAGACTCCAATATCATTACATAATTCATTAGGGATGTGAACAAGATAGGGACCGAACTGGTCAAACTGCTGATTCATTGGTCCACTGGTTGAACTAATGGTTGAACACCGTTCAACCATTGAACCGGTTATTAATTTATTAACATTTATATATACATAAAAATTTTGTATATTAAAATTTATATATATAATTATTTTGTGTTAGATACATTGATTGTTCGAACACATTCAAATGTCAAAATTAATTAAAGAAAAACTTAGAGAACAAAAATAAAAAATAAAAATAAAAAATAAAAAATAAATAAAATAAAACAGATTGTTCCCTTAATTTACAATTTTACATCACTAACTTCAAACTTGAGTTGCAAACCCTTCCGGAAATCCTATTTCTCCGGCCGCGCCGCCCTCCACCTCCGTCCCTCTCAGTACACCCACCACCAACCGAAAATCAATAAACCCTAAACCCTTCAAGAAATGCGATCCTTCATGTGGCACGCGTCCAAGCTATTCGCCCCCAAAAACTTCACCCGATCCATGTCGCAGTCCACTTCCATACCCAAAAAGCAAACCCGAGTCCGCGACCATGGCTACGACAACTACATGGAAATCGAGAAAAAAGTCCGCAAAATCCTCAAATTCCAGGACCTCATCCTCTCCCAGCACAACAGCATGATCCCCGTCTCCCGCCTCGACGCCCTCGCCCGCCGTATCGGCTTCAAGCAGCTCGAATCCGGCCGCTTCATCCTCAAATTCCCCCACGTTTTCGAGGTCTTCGAACACCCGGTGCAGCGAATCCTCTATTGCCGCCTGACCCGGAAGGCCACCTCGCAAATCCAGCAGGAAAACGAGGCCCTCCTGCAGCAGATACCCGACGCCGTGACCCGGATTAGGAAGCTGCTGCTGATGTCGAACATGGGCCGGATCAGGCTGGAGCATGTCCGCATAGCCCGGAAGGAATTCGGGCTGCCGGACGATTTCGAGTACTCTGTAATCCTAAAACACCCGCAGTATTTCCGGTTGTTTGATGCCGACGAGACCCGGAACAAGTACATCGAGGCAGTCGACAAGGACCGCACGCTAGGTGTTTGTGAAATTGAAAGAGTGAGAGAAATGGAGTATCGGGAGAAAGGGATGGCAGCCGAAGATGTCCGGTTCTCGTTCATAGTGAATTTCCCGCCCGGTTTCAAGATCGGAAAGTACTACAAAATTGCGGTTTGGAAGTGGCAAAGGCTGCCTTACTGGTCGCCCTACGAGGATATCTCGGGTTACGACCTGAGATCGATCGAAGCCCAGAAGAGGATGGAGAAAAGGGCTGTTGCTGTTATTCACGAGCTTTTATCCCTGACCGTGGAGAAAAAGATGACCTTGGAGAGGATTGCGCATTTCAGGATGGCAATGTGCCTGCCTAAGAAGCTAAAGGAATTCTTGCTGCAGCATCAGGGAATCTTTTACGTGTCGACCAGAGGGAATCACGGGAAGCTGCACACAGTTTTCCTGAGGGAGGCGTATAGAAAGGGTGAGCTGGTGGAGCCGAACGAGCTGTACCTGGCAAGGAGGAAATTGGGGCAGCTGGCATTGATTAGCCCGAGAAAGGCGAAAGTGGATAATCGATTGGTGAATTACAGGAGGGGTGGGCTGGATGATGATGATGATGATGATGGTTTGAGGGGTGGTGTTGGGAGAGGCTATGTTGAGGGTGATTTTGAGATGACAAAGAGAGAAGGTGGAAATGAATCGGATGATGATTTTAGTGATGGTGGTGGGAGTGAGAACGAAAGTTTTGTGGACGACTGAATGAAGATTCTACGGATAAATTTTTTTGGGAAAAAAAAAAAGAGAAGTTGATGTGTGAACTTGCTGTTCGCTGTGCCTTTATGAATGTGTCGTTCTGTGCATGGAAATGCATTTGGGAATGTGCCGAGAATTTCGGCTACTCTACTTCTGATAGGCATTGGGGTGGCTCGTTTAATATATACCTAAACTGGAGCTTTTGTCACCAGTTTGGATTGGTGTCACTCTTGTTTTACACATCTCCACTTATGTTTTCTGCAATTAAAGAAGAGGGGAGCACAGTATGCCAGTCTCATTTTGATGCGGTCGAATTCTAAGGTATGATTACCTTTTTTCTCCAGTGCCGCTTGTTGAACAAAGCAAGTTCAAATTAGCTTAGGCATGGATTGGTGGTAGTGTACTGTGGTGAAAGGTGCTTTCAAATTCCTCTGGCCTAGACTGCGAGTAAAACTCATGTTTGAGTGATTTTAAAAGGTGTTACTGTTTTATAATGAGCAAGGTATTATTTGTTCTCCCATGTTACTTCACTAGGGTACAAAGGAGCATATGTTTATGCCCATTCCACACGTCATCTTCACTTATGGAAACAAAATTCAGATTAATTTGTGCAAACTTCAAGTTGACATTTGATTGCTTTGAATGTCAAAACCTCCTGTAACAAAAAACGAAAAAAGCCGATTTCCCCCCTTCCTGAGTTCTGAAATCCTAGACGCCCACAAAGAAAAGAAAGCCTCCAGTCGCGCCA